TCCTGCTGAGTCACCAGAGGGTTTCTTTTCCCCTGCTCTATGGTCACGTAGCATTTCAGCATCAGCTTTATCATCTGCAGTTTGTTCTCATTGAAATGGTGCTTCTTTACTGAGACTTAACTTTTCATGGAGGAGGAGAGCACTAATGAGTGCCAATAACAAGTAACAACTGGTGAAACCGAGTGGAGTGGGAAGCTTGGTGTTCACTGTTCCATCCACGTGTGCTGGCAATGGACGTGACAAGCGCAAGGGGCTTGTGGTGGGTCTCAGGCTTAAACAGTTCCAGTTTAGAAGTAGATGATGTCTCTTTCATCCCAAACACTTGATGGAAAGACACAAACCTCATCATCATCCTGGGTGGATGCTGCAAGTAAAGACTGAGTCCGATTTTGTCCTCATAGTGCAGCGTCATTTCGTACGTGTGTATGTTTTGTGCTGGTGTTTCTAAGAGCCTTGTCTGGCTCCGTGGCTGTTTTCCCCTGAGGAGTTTTAACTCTTCAAACACACACAAAAGCACTGAGCATTTTGCTAGAGTCATGTCATTGTGTACTGAGATACCTCATAAGCCTTTAGACATCCTGCGCTCTTTGTGAACTACATCCTTCTTTATCCAAAATAACAATCTAACTATAGTTTCAGTATTCAATATCCTTCTCCGACAGATGTTTTCTGGCAAGCGTCTTCCTGCATTAGTGAATTCTCCCTCAAGAAGCAACAGGACACCTGCAGGAAGTGAATCAAGACTCTGGAGCAGCAGAAAAAATAATCACCTGCTTTAAAATAACTAAATAAAAGTACTGTTCCAAAAGACAAGGAGAAGCATTTCTTTCTATTTGTTTCTAGGTGTAAAGTTTGAATAATTAACGCAGAATTCTGTAATCATTGACTCATTAGTGGCTGATGTTTGAAAAAGCTCTTGCGGTCGAGTCTGTGACGTGCTAACAAAGCCTTCCATGGGTAGTGCTGTAGTGATCTTGGTAGCCTGAGCCCTAGCCCCGGAGCCAGCAGGGGACAGACTTGCTTTAGTTCCTTCTCCATCCTGGGAGCTGGCCTGGGCTCTGCTCTGGCCTCTGCAGTGCTGCTGGGCAGAGGGGTGGCCTCAAGAGGTGGTCTCAAAGGTGGGGTGGTGGCCTTGAGGTTGGGGTGGTGGCTCTGCTGGGGCCACACACCTTTTTCTGCTGCTTATATCCAGCAGCACCTCTGCTGCCGTGGCCAAAGCAGGTCTTGGGGGCAGGTTCTTGAGGGCTCATTGCCAGAGAGTATTCCTTTGAAGGCAGCACAAGTATTAATTTTTTGATAGTCTATATTCTCAATGTTGTAGGATACTTTACTTTCATACTACCTACTTTTTGGATATATAGGGGTTTTCACGGTACACGTGAGTAGTGGAAAACTGAAAGATGATGATACAACTTTGTATAAAAAATGACCTTGCAAAACAAAGGCCTTTTTTTTTTCCTTTCCTTTGGCTTTGGGACTTGGAGACAATTCCTACCCCACCTGTAATTCTTGCTTTTCTAATTTGTGTTAGCAGAGACTATGATGCGTCATAACTGTAGATTTAATGTGCACTCCTGTGCTTTCTGCCAAGTGGTAATTCACTTCGGAGTTTTACTATGTTAAAACTGTAAATACAGCAGAACGGTAATAAATGTCACTTATGTAGCAAGTCTTGCTGTAGAGCAGTGTTTAATTGGGTTTCAATGCTTCATTGCACCTGGTCGTTGATCACAAATGCAGGTTTTCTGGGGGAATTTCATTGCTTCTCCAGAGAAGGTGTAACACGGATCTCCAAGGTGTGTCTCCCCTCTTGTAAGCAGGTTTCCAAGCCCTCGTGCCAGCCTGGCGGCTCATTGATGGGTCTGTGCAGTTTCAGGGTTGTCTTGGATTATTTCGGTAGTTTCACATACAGAACTCATCTGCCTCACGAAACTTCACGGCTGAGCTGCTCATATGTATGGTCCTCACAAACAAGCAGTTGGGGCTGATGGAGGTAGATGGGGGTTACACAGAGTCTTCCTTTTTAAACCAGAATAAGTGTACACAGAATTACTAAGTTTATCCTGTGAGGCAAAACCTGCAGCATCTGGGAACTCTGCATCACATTTGCCCAAACTTGGCAGATGAGCCTTGTGTTTGCTCTCTGGCATCTGGGCCTTATTTGGTCTCGTACATGCAGAGAAGGCGAATATTTGGCATTTCTGCTTTGGTGGCGGAAGCTGCAGGCACCCACTGCTCGTCGTCCCCTGCAGCCGGTGTTTGGGGCGCAGGGTGGGGATGTGCAGCCAGAAGCGGGTGGGTGACAGGCTGGAGCAGCCCGTGCTGGTGCTCAGTGAGTGTTAGCGCCAGCTCCAAGCTCAAACAATGACTTTGGGTCTCTGGCAGCTCGGATGTAAATGGTCCATCTGTGGTCATCTGCAGTGACCAAATAAACACCTTTGGCCCTTCCGCCTGCAACTTGGCAGCCGGGTTGTCTTCTCCTTCCAGGGTTGTAAACCTCCAACCCCTGCCCCGGGCAGGGACACCTTCCACTAGAGCAGGTTGCTCCAAGCCCCTGTGTCCAACCTGGCCTTGAACACTGCCAGGGATGGGGCAGCCACAGCTTCTCTGGGCACCCTGTGCCAGCGCCTCAGCACCCTCACAGGGAAGAGCTTCTGCCCAAGAGCTCATCTCAGTCTCCCCTCTGGCAGGTTAAAGCCATTCCCCTTGTCCTGTCCCTACATCCCTTGTCCAAAGCCCCTCTCCAGCTCTGCTCCACCTTTTTTTTTGCTGCTGGTGCAGGTTATTCCATGGCAAGTCTCAGAATGGTTAGCACTATTTTACATCAGTCACAGCATTATGCAGAAAAGCTCAGCTGTGGTACAGAGGAGTCGCTTTTTTGGTCCAAATACCAGAATTGTTTGTACAATTGATTTTAAAGACATATTTTGCAATCACTTGGAGGTTGCTTTAAGGTTCTTTTTCCAGGTTTTGTAGGAACCGCACCTTGAAACCTTATTTCCAGCTCCCATGAAAGAAGGAAAAGGAACCCGAGGGGAGAAGGATCAGATAAAGGGAGACCAGCACATGCTGGAGGAAATCAAATCTGCCTATAGAGAAGGTAGGACACTATGGAGGAAACAAATGGGATCTGTCCATTGTCCCTGCTCTTCCGCCTGCTCCGGCGGGAGCTCAGCCTCCAGTGGAAAGATTGGTGCTAATTGTCCACGGTATCCATGTGAAGCACAGGATTGCACTGAGGAATAAAGCCACTGAGTGGGGGACCTCCAGTTCCATTTTGCTTTATTTTCCAAAGTGTTGGGGGAATGGACAAAAAGCCCATCAGGGAAGGAAAATATCAGAGCTTGAGGTTTAGTCATTGTTTAACTTGAAAAATCAATCACAGGATGTATGCTAGAAGCTTATTTTTAAATCAGGACTTACGCAGACACAAGCCCTCTTTTGCTGAGCATGTTAATAAAACCCAATAGCAATGAATTTGAGAAATAAAGCAAAAGGCAGGGATCTGTGCCCAGGGTCTGGAGTGGCAGAAAGAGTCTGCACCAGGAGCCACAGGTCCCAGTGGGGGTTAAACACCATCCATGTCCCAAGGCCAAGTGGAGTGAAGTACGAGGGCACTCTGGCGTGCCTTTGTAAAGACAGGATTACTCCACAGAGGTTATCCTAAGCAAGAAATCAGTGTTTCCAAAATATCCATCGCCTCTCGGTGAGCTTCAATGGGCCCCCAAACTGTAACCTCAGGCGATGGTTGGCTGGAGCCATCTGGGCACCAGGACATGGTCCTTGGAGCATCCTCCAGGCACTTGGGCAGTCTGCCTCCTGCCGATGGGCATCAATCACCCCAGAGCTGTGTCACCTGCAGGAGCCGCCGGGTCTGGGGCAGCACGAGGGGCCCTGTGGGTCAAAACTCCCCTTGCCCACAGTCACACAGCCCATGGACAAAGTGGGCAGCAGAGCGGGGGGACGATGAGGAGAAAAGCCCGTCTTCCACCAGCTTTTGTGTTTGCTTTTGTTGTTGCTTTAACCAAAGGGGCTGGAGAGCAGTAATTAAAGGCTCAGTGGCTCTAATTGGAATAGGTTTAAACTGGAGGTCAAAATCCCTTCTGGCACTTCCTCTGTCTAATAACCATCAACAGAAATCAAACATCAACAGAAATAAAACAAATCCAGCTGCCCCCAGCCACTAATCTGCAACCAGCAAAGGTCACGGTGGTGATAAGGGAGCGCAGCGGCCGCACACAGCCCTGCGTGGAGGCACAGCCCAGCCCAAGGGTGCAGCACCCAGCCCTGCTCGGGGCGGAATGGGACAGTGCCAGGGAACGAGTGACAGCGGGTCAGACCCTGGCTGCGTGCGATGGGTCGAAGCCGGTGGTGGTGGATGGAGAGGGGATGGGTCACCCTGTGGCAGTGCAGTGCGTGGGACAGGGATGGGGGCGTTCAGCATCGCTCAGCGCGGCTATTGCACCAAAATGCCTGTTTCCTTGGAGCAGAATGAGGAAACTGAGGCTGCGATGGGGGTTTAAAAGGAGGGTTTGTAACCGAGTGGTAACTGCCGTGCGCCCGG